GGCCCAGCACCCCCCTCAGACCCAGGGGTCCGGGCCCTGCCCCCCCCTCAGACCCAAGGGTCCGGGCCCAGCCCCCCCACTCAGACCCAGGGGTCCGGGCCCAGCCCCCTCCCTCAGACCCAGGGTCCAGGCCCAGCCTCCCCCCTCAGACCCAGGGTCCAGGCTTAACTTCCTTTTCCTTTACTTATGAGCTTGGAAACGTGTCCCCTCCTGAGGCACTGAGACCCTGCCCGTCTCCTAACTCCTCCTCCTCATTACAAAGGATAGAATTCTCCAGTTCCCTTCTCCCCTCTCCTCTCTGCCCTGAAAACCAGGAAACCGGGGCCCCCACCTCCTGAGCCCCCTGGCTGAGGCTGGTGGACCTGCACCCCGAGTTCTCCCACCTCCCCTGGCTTTCCGAGGGGCTGGCTGCTCCCCAGAGGGGCCCCAGGCGTCAGGGTCCCAGGTCCGGTGTTCCTCCATGGCGCCAAGCCTGCAGCGTTTCCGTCTCTCCTGGCTCCCTGGGCGGGGACTGCCCAGGTAAGGGAGGGCCCTACGGCAGGGCCACACCTGACCACCAGGTGGCCAAGAGGGACAGGGTGCAGTTCTCAGGACCTCCCAAGGCTACTGCTGTAGGCTCTGCTGGGAAATGAAGTCCCTCCCGGTGGCTTTTGGAGCCGGGCAGTCACCAGAGTTGCCCTGGGAGGTGGAGCAGTGGCACTTCCTGTTGGCACTAGGTGTCCTAAGTGTCCCCAGGGGTTTACTGCCCACAGATACTCTCACAAACAGATGCCTGTGCCACACTTTATTGGGAAAGATTTACACACTCTGACCTGTTGTAGGCCAAGGGATGATAACAGGGTGGCAGGTGGGCCGGGCCCTGAGGTGGCCGCTGCGTGGGCAGAGTCCCCCCAGGCCACCTGTGCTTCAGTCCCCCGCAGGAAATGGAAGGCTGCATTCCTTTCCACCCTGAAGTACTGCTCTAAAAAGACACAGGAGGACTGAGACCCAGGCAGGGGCTTCCCCTCCCCAGAACCTGACCCTGAAACTCCTGCCCCACACCAAGGACCCAGGGGGAATCTATCAAAGAAGCCACATGGCCACTGGCCTCGCCCTGTTTCTGGGGAAGCGCGCTCTCTGACCACCAGCAGCCTGGAGCAGCAGSGAGGGCTGGAGCCCGCCTCTGGACAGGGCCCTGACTTCAGAGCAGGGAGGAGGGGCCTGCTGCAGGCACAGGGAGCAGGGGAGGGGCGTCCCAGCTCTGCTTCAGCGGACGCCGGGTCATGGCTGGGAAAGAGGATCCTCTCCAGGCTCCTAGCCAACTGGGGGCTCTCCAGGAGGGAAGGCGACGGCCTGGCCCACAGAGCGCCCAGGCCGAAGTCCAGGGGCTGGACACCACCACACTGGGGGTGCTGGCCGCTTACTCCTCCCGGAGCTTTTCCGGGGCAAGGCCAGAGGATTGGAGTGCTGTCTTTCGCCGGCTCGGGCTGCCCCCACCCAGAGCTAGCCCCAGCCCTAGGCAGGCCAGGGCCACGAAGTGGATGCAGAAGTAGATGGAGGACCAGTACCGGAGCGTGTCGCCCGTGGAGAGGAGCACAAAGCCCATGCACATGTAGTCATAGGCGCGCATCTTCAGGAACCAGTGCACCCAGTCCCAGGCCTTCTGGCCCCTGGGACTGAGCCGCCACCTCAGGGCCGACTCCAGGCGACCCTCTGCGGCCAGGCACAGCGGGATGGTCAGGAAGCTCAGGTAGTAGCCAGGATGCAGGCCATGCCAGTAGGCGCTCAGCAGCATGGTCCAGGCGCTCCTGGGGAACAGGCTGGGAGTCAGGCTCTGGGGAGCCACAGCCTCAGTCCCACAGGACCCAGGGGTCCAACCCCCTCCCTCAGACCCGTGGGTCCTCGTCCCCAGCTCCTGAAGGCAGAGGAGGCTATGGATTCTGTCTCCTTTGGGAATCCTGAAGCCCCACCTGCCCCATCCGCACCCCGTGACCCAGGCATGTGCTGCCCTTGACCGTCTTTGGCTCACAGCCTTCCTCCCTCAGGCCAAGGAGTCCCATTCCTTGGCGGGGTGCTGCTCCCAGTGAGCAGGTCCCTGGCCTGGCTTCAGCACACCTGGGAACCTGGTGATCCTCGCCCCACCCCACACCACAGGGACCTGGGCACGAGGCCCAGAAGGCACTGCCAKCGAGCCGAGGCCTCAGGTGGCGCTGGCGCACCTGAATGCCCGAGAGCCTCGGCCCAGCCCAGGAGACCCAGAGTCACCCCTGGACTGCCAGGGCTATGTGTTCCCCCCTGACAGAACCTGCCCTCCTCAGGAAACCAGGAGCCTTTGGCTGTCCTCCATCTGTATGTCCAACTCCCCCTTCCTCCAGGAGGCCAGGATCTCAGAAGCCTGTTCCTCCTCCCTCGGGACCCAGGAGTCTCCACTTCTGATCTGGGAACCCAGCTCACCCGCTCCTTTCTCTCAGGACCTAGAAGTGGGAGACTCCAGCCCCTTCTTGCTTTAGGGACTCAGGAGTGTAAACGCTGACCCACGAGGACTCAGACCTCCAGCCAGGATCCCCTCCTCCCTGGCAGACCCAGGGTCTGCCTGCCCGTGTGTGTAAGAAGACAGAGACAGAACCTGCCCAGTGTGCGGGGGGCAAGGTAAGTRTCCTGCCACYGAGCCACGACCCAGCCCTGGAGACCTGTGAACCCGGTGGGGGGGGGGCTGTGCTAAGAAGAGTCATCGGTCTCCATGTCACCCCCCGACTCCAATTCCATCAGTGGCTGGCCATACCTGTGGCCTCAGGAGGGTCTTTCCTGCCTGTGGGCTTGTTCCTCTGACACACTAGATGTTTAAGGTACAAAGATCACCTAATGACAGAACAGCGGTCTGCCACAGGCATGGGGGTGTGAAGCATCTCCTGCACTGTGGTGTTCAGGGGTGTCCCTGGTCCACCCCCACTCCAGGCTCCATCCCTAGCAACACCCCAGCATGCACCACACACTGCCACAGCCATGGCACAACCACCCCCCTGAGACCTGCTGGTCTGCAGAGGCAGCCCTGGGCTATAAGCATCACCTGCAACTGACCACACTCAACATTCACTCTTAAGTGCCAGATTCCCATGACGAACTGCCTATCCAGTGACCCCAGCTGAACATCTGAGTCATCTCCAGGTCAATGACACCAAACCCAAGTCTTGTCACTTCATCTCACCCACTGCTGAAACTTCTCCCTGTAGGGTGCTCCCCTTCTCAGGAAGGGCCCTTCTGGACCCTCAGGCACCCAAACTCATAACCTGGGAAACAGGTTTCATTTACTGTCTTCTCCTGCTGGACACGCGGTGGGCCCAAGTCTAGACTCCCCCTCGAGTCTACGTACTTCCTGGTCACTGACCCCCACGGAAGATCCCAGCTCTTTCACTGGCCCCACCTGGAGAGTCAAGGGCTTCGGATCAGCCTCCTTGTTCCCCTCTGCTCCCTCTCCAGATGAGGCTCCAGTGGAGCTGTCCACTGATTTTTTTGTGATGCTGGGGATCAAACCAGGGCCTCGCATGTGCTGGGCGCGGAGTAGACCTGGAACTCCCAAGTCTGACCACACCCAGGCAGGCGCCATCAGCACTTGTACCAGGAGAACACAGCACAGTGCCTTCCAACCTCAGGAATCTCAGGGGAGGCGAGTGAGACTCAGGAGGTTACCCAGTATCCCTGAGCCTTAGCCCCTTCTCCTTAAGATGGAGACAGGAACTTTGATGACTAGAGATAATGTGCCTAGCAGTCTCAGGAAACACGGGGAGAGGGCTGGGGATACAGCTCAGAAGCAGCGTGCTCGCCTGCCACGCAGAGGGCTCTGGGATCCAAGAGCACAAGAAGAAATATCAGAAAGACGGAACACAGTGACAGCTCTTACACGGCAAGCACCCCCGGGAGGCCTCGCACTGCACCCCACCTGACCGCTCAGCCTGTGATCGAGGTTAACAGGTTAACCCCACTTAACAGCCTAGGACACTGTGGCCTGCTGCTCCCTGGAGTCTTCTCAGTGATCTGCAGTGCCATGATGTGGCAAAGTCTGGCCCCTGAGCCTGCAGGACCCAGGCCACTGCTGCTATTCAATGAGGACCTCACGCCTGAGGAACTACAGCTCCATGAGCCTCAGGGCAGGGGTTGTCTGGGAAGTCTCTGCACTGGCCCTGGCGCTGGGCAGGGCCCCTCACCTCAGGACGTAGGAGCGGGCAGGTGCGCTCTTGTAGATGTACTGCGCCAGCCACCACTGCACTGTCATGTTCCAGTACCGCATGCCATCCCGCACCCGCACGCAGAAATCTGTGCTGTAGCAGTCGATGTTGCGGATGGTCTCAAAATCATACTCCAGGGAAGCCGCCTTCTCCGGACTGGGGGTGGAGGGTGAGGGTGGGGACAGACATGCAGCTCAGCCAGGCCCCTCCGGGTGCCTGCTCCTGTCCCAGCCCCAGATGCTAAGGAGGGGATTCTGGACCAGCRATAGCCCTCTGGCTGTCAGACTTGCTATGACCACAGGGGAGGACAGCCCAGAGGGAGACTTCCAGAGAGCAGGGTGGACAGGGCAGTGTTCACCAACAGCAGGGTTCTCTTGGTAACCAAGAGGCCTGCCACAGCCACCAAAAGCCTGAGCCACAAGTCCTTCAGCAACCAGGCTCAGTATTTTCAGAGAAGCTTCCAAATAATGGTCCCTCCTGAAGTGTGGGGCAGTGTAGTTCCTAGGGAAGAATCCTAAAAGGTGGTTCAGGGTTGCTAGGGGGACGTTCTAGGCCCTGTGACTCTGACTGATCCCTGTTGCTAGGGAAAAGGCATTCCTGAGCAACAAGGCCCAGGCTGTTTAGAAAAGCTTCCAAAGGGGGACTTTCTTCCTGGTCTCTGTGATTGTTCGAGAAGTGTCACCTCCAGAAATACAGTGGCTTCCAGGTCATTGGTACCAAGGGTCCCATTTGAACCCTCAGTGGCTTGATGACGGGAACAGAGCTGCCTTAGAAGTGGGGCCTGGCAGATCCGGAAAAGCCTTCCTTCTGGCCTGTGCTCGGGGCACCTCCTCTCTAGCAGCTGCAGTCCACGGGTGGTTACCAGGGCAATGGCAGTAAATGAACATGGGAGTGCCATGAAAGGATGCTGCTTGTGACTACTAGGTGGGGCACAAACCCAGCAAGGGGTGGTTCATAATTTACACCAAAAGGCCGCTGCCAGCCCCAATCCCAAGAAGGCTGAACATGGATTCGAGGAGCAGAGGGCCCTTCCCCGCTGCCAGGGGTACCACTTCCCTACGGGGGCAGCACTTCCTTGGCAACAAGTTTCTGCCTTTATGACTCACCTAGCAACAGTGGTGCTGGGGGCAGGGGCAGCACCACTAGCAACAGGGCCAATCCACAGTTATGGGGTGGGAGCTCGGCTGGGTTGCGGCAGGAGGAARGCCCCAGAGGTTGTTGGGAATGGTATGTCCTCAGCAGGACAGTACAGTCAGGGATTCTAGATCCTTAGAAACAGGGTAACTGAACTGCTATGTGATGACATCTCACGGGAAGGTGATGGCTGCTAGTAACACGGGGCAGTTTGGGTGGCAGGTTCTGTAGCCACAAAAGCAAGCCTTCTGGCCTGAAGGGGCTAACAGTTCTAGGGATCCTGCTTCCCCAGCAACAGAGGATGACCTGCCCCTACCAAAGGATGGCATCCTCAGTAACCAGGATCRGTAAGGTTCTTGGGGTGACATGTCCCTGGCAACACAAGGATGCATGAGGTTGCTAAGATAGCGTCTTCCGTCTCCTAGCAACGGAGAGCAATTCACCATAGTGAGGGTGGCAAGCACTTGCAACAAGGGGCAATCCACAGGTACCAGGAACACAGTTCCCTACCAACAGGGAAGGCAGCTGGGTTGCCAGGGGTGACACACCTACACACAAGTGGTGGCCCTGCCCCTGCTCCCCGCTCTCCTCCCTGCTAGGGGCAGGGCCAGCCCTTGGTGGTGGGGCCTGCTGGGTCTTGGGAAGCCTCCCTCCCGCCGCCTGACCTGCTGGGGGGTGGGCATTGGAGGGTGGGGCCGCCCCCGGCCCGGGCTTTGGCGGCCACGGGGTAAGCCCCGAAGCCCGCGGCAATGCAGCCGCACTCCGCGGCAATCCAGGCCACGTAGAAGCGCATGCGGAAGGCGAAGAAGACGGGGATCATGTAGAAGAGGCGGGCGGGCAGCGGGCGGGCGTAGAAGGCGTCCTCACGCACGGCCTCCAGCGGGAAGAGGTGGGAGGACAGCAGGAAGAGCAGGCCAAACAGCGGGGCCGGCCAGGCGCGGCGCAGCAGTGGCCGCAGGCTGGGCACGGCCTCCGGGAAGGGCTGCTCCAGCCAGTCCAGGTAGGTGCGGTAGCGGAAGAACGGGCCTGTGGAGGTGGGGAGGGCAGCGGTCAGACGCTCGTGCTGTGTGCGGCTGGCGAGGGGAAGAGCTCAAGTCTGGAGGAGCTAACAGGGCGAGACGGGGACAAGCAGCAGAGACAGGAGGACCGGGGACCCAGAGAAAGAAGGAGGGACAGATTAGAGTGGAACAAAGATCCTGGGAATGAGACAGAGGAGGGCAGGACTTCAAGATGGGGTGATCTCCATATCAGTGAGTCACAGAAAGTAAAGCAATGGCCACAATAAACTGGGGGTTGGGGGGGTTGGCAGGGGCTCCCCAGGCAAGGCAGGCAGGGAGGGCAKGGTTTCACCGGGAGCTCCAGGAAACCACTGTAGCCCCTCCAACAGGACGGGGGCTGCCCAGCACCCCACAAGCTCCCTGTGGCTGCTGAGCGGGCTGGGTGTGTAGAGGGGCAGTAAAGGAAAATRGAGACAGTTGTGGCTCTTCAGATGTGACGGTGGCAGCCTCGGGAGCAGCAKTGGGACTAACAGAAAGGGCAGGTGTGGAAAACCTTGTGTGTTCACAGAAGATCACGTGTTATGATTCCATTTACAAGAAATGTCCAGAACAGGCACATCTATAGAAACAGAGGTCAGTTAGTAGCATGCAGAAATGGATGGATGGGTGGATGATTACAGGTGTCTTTTGGGGGGCGAGGAAACTGTTCTGCAGTGGTGGCAGTGCACAACTCCATGGCTGCACCAACAGTCCGTGAGTTGTGTACTTCAAATGGGTGAACGTGTGAACAACAGCTCACTAACCCTAAACCGGGAAAACATTCATAAGAAACGCTTTCTGAAACTGAAAATGGCTCTAAGCTCTGAATACCTGTCCCCTGAATGCAGGAAACATCAGGGGTGATCAATCCCAACTGATCAGGAGACTGAGGCAGGAGGCTGGCAAGTCTGATGCCTTTCCAGGCAATTTAGCAAAATACATTCTCAAAAAAAGGAACATGAGGTTTCAAGAGGCCTAACCCCTTGATATTTGTTAGCTCAATAAATCATAGGAGGAAAGTAGGGAATCCTGCAGGCTCAGAACCATTAGCATCTACCTATAAGAGCTCTGGTCTTATGTGAGAGTCAGACACAGATGGAGCCACAGAAGAGACAATAAACTCTAGGTGGAGAGAGGAACATCGGGTGACCGCGGTAGACAGGCAAATGTGCAGGGTAGGCCCACTCACCTGTCATGATTCCCACATAGCAGTAGCTGTAGCTGAGCGTCTCCATCAAGGAGGGCACATCGGGYAGCAGCCCCAGGGTGGACCCCTTGCTGAAGCCGGAGGCCATTTCCTTCCTCTGGGCCAGGTGCAGGTCCTGGACCTCACTGGCCAGACTCACCAGCTGGGGAAAGGGAACAAGCAGCTGAGCTCTCCTCACATCCACTTCCCTTAAGCTGCCACTCTCAGCAGCAAGGTAGGCTGGGGGTTACGGTGGGCTGAGGTCCCYGCCACCAGCAGCTCTGTGCATGAGAGGTGGGAAACACCTCCAGTTGGCAGTGATCCTCAYGGCTCCATCTTGGGCCTCCTCTTCTTTCTCTATGGTGCATTTGAATCCATGCTTTAAGTATTGTCCACATGCTAATGACACCCAAATTCAACCCCTACCCTGGACCTCTCCAGTCATTTGCCTATTGCCATTTACACTTGGATGTCTCCTAGGYATCTCAAATTTAACACCTCCAAAGTGAAACACGCTACTACTTGATTCCCAGGGTTTCACAGGCCTGAGGTAGGGCCTGGTAGTCTTGCTTTTGTCCACTTGCCCAGGTGGTTAAGAGTCAGAATGGCTATCCCAGTTTTGTGCCCTTGGGCCAGGTACCTCCTCCCCAGAGCTGGAATCCCTCCTTTGCAACACGGCTTGCTACAGAGACTCTGCTGGCAAAGCACACTGGACAGGCTCACTCCAAGTGCCAAATCGCTCCTCCTGCTGATGCACTTGGGCCATTTCCTTACCCCAGAACAGTGGAGAAGTGAAGAACTGCTGGGGCGTATGTGAAAGGGAACCCTATCCCTAGGGAGAGGTAAAGTCCTACTCTGGGGGTTTGGATGAAATAAAATCCCACCCCCCACCCCCACTGGCATGGATGGGAGGAGGAGGTGAAGCAAGGGAGGTTAAATGGCACGTAAGGAAGCTGGAGGGAGAATGCAGCCCCAAGTCTGACCTTCAGTGTCAACAGCAGCTGGACGGCATTGGTGAAGGGCGTGGGAGTGGGCAGGCCCAGCAGGCTGAGGGCTCGGAAGAACAGGAGATAGGAGAAGGTCCAGGCGAGAGCCAGGGCATGGCAGGAGCTGGAGCAAGGAGAAGCCAGTGTGGGCAGGGACCCGGGCCTCTGTTTTCCTCTTGCCAGAGTCTAGCCACATATCCTCCCCCACCTTTCCCTACTGGGAYGAAAAAGGGGAGGACAGAGAGAGGACTGGACAATGGGATGCAGGGATGAAAGAGGCAACATGTGGAACTGCACAGTCTCGGAGAAGAATGAAGAAGGGTTGAGAGAATCTGCAGGGTGAAGACCTTCAGTCCTCCATTTTTTCTTCATCACCAAGATCCAGAGCTCAAGATGGGGAAGAAGGGGGGTGGCTATGCATGACTATGAGTGGTGGCATGTCCAGCCATAACATGGACRTAAAGGACTATGGCAAACACACAGGGAACAAGGTGCAGGACAAGATAAAAGGGGAAAAAGATGAGACAAATGACAGAGAAACAAAAGATAAAGAGGAGAAATCCAGAGCWGGAGGCAGAAGCTGAGAAAGACCCAAAGAGGAAACAAGTGGCTTCCTCCACACCCCCACTCTCCCTGCCCTCCCTCCCCCAGTTCTCACCAGGGCTGGGCCTGAATGAGGGCCCAGGTCCCAAGGATGGTGATCAAAGAATGCAAAGTATGGGGACCACAGGTGAACAAGGTGAGTCCCAGGCCCACAGCGGCTGCCCCCCATCTCTTCAGCCCAGGCCCTGCAGAGAAAAGGGACAGCATAAGCCTGGAACCTTCCAGGGGGTCCCCCTCCCGTCCCCCTTATTTTCCACTGGGGAGGGAACCTGACTCACCAGCTTTCTTAAAGAGGAAGCCGATGGGGATGGAGATAAGAAGAACTACCAGATAAGTCCATTCTTCTGGTGACATGATCTGGGGGAGGGATAGAGGGCAAGGGCTTGTGGTGAGWGCCCAGGCCTTCAGCTCTTCTGAGGGAATCCAGGAAACCAGGCCTGTGCTACTCCTCCTCCTAGGATCCAGGAATCCAGCCCCCACCCCTCTCCTGGGCCAACGCAGAAATCAAACCTATTCCCCACCCCCATTTAGGACTCAGACATAAAAGACATCCCTTCTCTGAGAACACAGACACAGCTCCCCTYCCATACTCCTTCTCTTTCAGGGCCTGTACATGCAGACCCCCCATCCCCTCCTCGAAGGACCCGGGAACCCTCTAGACTGCCTTCCAGATCCCCCAGCTACTCCCCCTTCAAGACCCAAGAAGCCCGACCTCTCCGCCGACAGCACCCAGAGAAGCTCGGGCCTCCAGCCCTCCACCTCTTCTGGATCTCGGACCTCTCCTCCACCTAGACSGCGAGAGCAGACCCTGCAGGTCTTCAGGCCCGTCCGCAGCTGGGCTGAGCCGAGCCCGTCCCAGGCGCTCGGGTAGAGCTACAGGCGGTTACGCCACAGCGCCCGGCGCACTCCAGCGCGGTTCCCACACCTCACCACTAGCCAACCCGCAGCGTCCCCACCCGGTCCCCCCAGCCTAGCCCACCTGAAATGCCCGTGGGGCTGCGGGCGACCAAGCAGTGCCAGCCCGCGTCCGCCGCCACGCCTCCCCGCACAGCAAGCCCCCGCGCCGCCCGCTCCAGCTGCGCCGGCCGGGCCTCCCGGTCCAGGCCTGGGGCGCGCGGCAGCCGGGCGCTGGACAGGCCGGGTAGAGAGGAAACTGGGAGCACSAGGCAGAAGCAGCCAACCTGACGGACCGGCTAGACCCGAGTGCGGAGCACCAGAACGTGAATGGGCAGGACCACTGGCTCGGAGAAGAGGGGCCGGGAGCTTGGAGCCGGGAGGAGCCAGCGCGGGCCCGGGTGGGCGGGGTCAGGAGCTCGGAGTTCCGGAGGAGGCGGGGCCTCTGCCTCGGATTTCTTCGGGCGCTGTCGAGAGCTGGAGCCCGCCCTTTGGGGGCSGGGCCACAGCCTCGGCCTACATCGGAGATAGTCGAATGCGTGAGCAGCGTTCGGATGTAGGCGGGCTACACGCTTCGCAGCCTGCCCAGCACTTAAGTCACTGTTCCAACATAGGCGGGCCTCCAAGGCGACCGGATGTGGGCGGGGCCATAGACTTGGCTGACTTCGGAAACAGTGGGGCAAAGGATCTGCTCCGATGTGGGCGGGGTCACACGCCTCGGCACCCTTCGAGTACCTAAGTTCCCACGCAGGCGGGGCTATAAGCCTTGGTTTACTTGGAGAAAATAGGTATAAGTCAAGTGGCACCTCCTTTTGCCACAGAAAAGTCTTAACTGGGTTCTCCAGAAATCTTCACCATGGCTGATTTTAGGACTGTCAGTAAAAGAGTCTCTGCAAAAGAGGCCAATGTAGATAAACTTCCTATTTTCATGTCGCCCTGTTTATTTGGCCACTGGCCGAGAAGATACCAGCACTCCAGGTGCTGCACACCCCTTACTAGTTTTTCACGAATATATGCAGTATAGTAGTTTGTAAAAATGTGCAAATAAGGCCTCTGGCCTGGAGCTGGGCTTCACAGAGATGTCTACATTTTTAGGATAAGAGGAGTTACCAACTGGGCTCCCTGGTAACAGCTGGCAGGGGGAGGAAAGAAAGGGGAGAAGAAGCTCTCCCCTTCTCAGGTGTGGTCCTTGGAAGGTTAACTTGCCTGGAACAGTGAAAGAAAAAGCTGCTCTTATGGGAACTTCTGCAGACTGTGAACTTCTGAGCCCCTCCCCTTACATGCTGGGTGTAAAACTCTGAAACTACCTGAACTCAGGGTTCAGGGTACTGATTGATTAGAGCAACAGCTGTGCCCTCTGAACCTGGCTGCAGCCAAATAAAACTATTTCCTGCTGTCTTCAGTGCCTTGCCTCGTGTGTCCCTACAACATAAATAACCTTGGTTTAATTACAGGCGGAGCCAACAGCTTCCCAGAGCATTGAGCCTCCTTTAAGGTAAGAAGGCGGGGCCATAGGCAATACGAAAGAGGAGATGAATCGCCTCACTTAGAAAGGGGCGGGAGGAAAACGGCCCAAGGGGGGCGGGGCTCGGAGGACCCGCGTGCCTCAGGGGCGGAGCCAGGGTAAAGAGCCCCAAGATCTGATCTTGCAGAATACCAGGGACCAAGGAGGCATGCTGAGGGCTGGACGGAGGTGCCGAGGGGGCGGGGCCAAAGTCCTGACTGGGCCGCCCCCAGGCTTCCCGCTCCACTGACGTGGCGTGATGACGAGAGTGACGCAGACAGGCGGCGTGTTAGGAGCTGGAGGAAGCCCTGCGCGGCGCACTACGTAGGGGCTAGCTCCGCCTCGGCCAAGTTGGTGTTTACGAGGACATTAGCTGGTTCTGTCGGAGGACAGAGGGACACTCTGAGAGAAAGCAAGCCGCTGACTGAGCGCTCTCAAGTGGGGTGAGCCCGCCCAGCGGAGCGAACGGCGGGCGCCCAGGGGGCGGGGCCTGAGGCTGCAGGGTTGGGCCGTAGGGCGGGAACTCTCCGAAGTGGGGCGCGTGGCGGCTGGGGGTGGAGCCACGGGCTGTGGGATWGACGGGAGCCTCGGAGGCCCCATCGCGCCCGCCGGCGCCGAGGTGGCGCGGGGCTGTGGAGCCGGTCCGGCCGAGAACACCCGAACGCCGAACGTCCTTCCTTCGGGAGCCGGTGGGGTTCGATCCCGTGGAGTCTGAGTGGGAGCGGGAGGGCCGCAGAGCCAAACCTGGGTGCCTCGGGAGGGGAGGAGCCCAGGTCCCTGCGCCGGGAGCAGGTGTGGCCTGCTCGGCCCCCTGGCCACSGGAGGTGGCGACACCTGACGGCCGCTCTGCGAGGGGGCGGTGCCAGAGTCACCTGCGGAGGGACGTGGCGGCGCACTCGGCCTGTTTCTTCGTGGCGCGAGGCGCGATGGCAGACGCAGCAGCGTTGGCTGAGCGGGCGCCACCGCGAGCCCAAGGGCCGGGTGGAGCCCCGGTGGCTGCCCCGGSGTCCGCTGCTGTCAGCGGCGCTGGGCGTGGCCTGGAGGCGGCCCAGCGGGTCCCGAGCCGGGGCGCCCTTCCCGGCCCCGCGGCCGCACGGTGACCGCGCTCCCGCCCCGCAGGAGGATGCTGGTGGTGGAGGTGGAGAACGGCCGCTCCCTGGTGTGGGGCGCCGAGGCGGTGCAGGCGCTGCGGGAGCGCCTGGGAGTCGGGGGCCGCACGGTGGGCGCCCTGCCGCGCGGGCCGCGCCAGAACTCGCGCCTGGGCCTCCCGCTGCTGCTCATGCCCGAAGAGGCGCGGCTCCTGGCCGAGATCGGCGCCGTGACCCTGGTCAGCGTCCCGCGCCCCGACCCCGCCCGCCACGGCCTCGTAAGTGTTGGGGCCTGGCTGCGGGGTGCCTGGGAGCCCCGTTCTGGGGAGGCGGTTGGGAGAGTGCAGGGAGCGGGAATCCCGGCTGCCCGAGGTGGCCGGAGCTTGGCCTGGTCCGCGGCTTCCAGCTCCGCTTACCTCGCAGGCTCTGGCATCCTTCAAACGCCAGCAAGAGCAGAGCTTCCAGGAGCAAAGTGCCTTGGCAGCCGAGGCCCRTGAGACCCGGCGTCAGGAGCTGCTGGAGAAGATTTCAGAGGGGCAGGCTGCCAAGAAGCAGAAGCTGGAACAGAATTCGGGGTCCTGSGAGAGCCAGCAGGCCCCCGGGAGCCAGGTTGCTGAAGGGAACGAGACTGGAGATAGCCAGGCTTCGGGGGAGCAGGAGGAAGCAGGCAGGTTTGGAGTCCAGGGACCAGGGAAGGAGGAGAGGGAGCCTCTGGGAATTTGGGCTGGGTCTCTCTGGGAGTGGGAGCACTTTGCCCTTGGATTCACAAAACTTCTCTGCACCTCTCCAGTTTCCTCCTCTCCCCAGCCAGGGCTTTCTGATGGGGTAGACCCCCTGCCCAGATCTGCCCTGCTGGTCCAGCTGGCCACTGCCAGGCCTCGACCTGTTAAGGCTAAGCCTCTGGACTGGCGTGTCCAGTCCAAAGACTGGCCCCATGCTGGCCGTCCTGCTCATGAGTTGCGCTACAGGATCTACAAAGACTTGTGGGAGAGAGGCTTCTTCCTAAGTGCTGCTGGCAAGTTCGGGGGTGACTTCCTCGTCTATCCTGGTGAGCCTGGGTTGGGAGCGCCGATGGCTGGCTTTTCCTCACAATCTCAATGTGTTTTGCATTTTTACTTTTTGTCTCTCCTTGTCTTAGCCTCTGAAACCCCCAGGACAGAGAGCACTTGGGAGTTCCCATAGAAGAGTTTTGTTACAAGGCCCTGGGTTCTAATCCTCAGTGTGCGCGCGCGCGCGCGCGCGCGCGCACACACACACACACACACACGAACAATTTAGTGACTTATTAAATACTTCCTATAACCCAGAGGAGTCACTCAGAAATATTTAGAAATATGCACAAAACACCTAAGAATATTCATTCTGAGGGGCTGAGGCTGTAGCTCAATGGCAGAGCACTTGTCTAGCATATGTGAGACACTGGGTTCAATCCTTAGTATTACATAAAAATAAATGAATAAAATAAAGGCATGCTGTCCATCTACAACTACAAAAAAATTAAAAAGAATATTCATCGTATTGAAGAATTGAAAAACAGCCCCCAAAATTACTAGTTACACATAATAGGTGGTTGTCAGAGGGACGTAGCATTAGTTATCAGAGACTGATATAGGTCCACGTATGCTTATGACCAGCAGTTGTTGTAGAAAGTGTTTGTGGTAAGTTGTGTATTTGTATAAATACATGGGCACATACATATCACTTAAATAACCTTGAAAACTGTGGCTCTATCTGGGTGCATGTCTTAAATAATCAGTATACCACATAGGCAGTGTGTCCTTGTCCCTAAGTGACCTGAGGTTTGAATCCCTTACATGTTTATAGACTTGTTTCTAAACATTTCTGAGGTTAAAAGATGATAAACCTCCAGAAAAACAGTTTTGGGGTTAACATCTTAAGCATTTCAATGCTCCTTTCTCAGCTGGTTAAGGTATCATGACAGCCCGAAGGGTGCCTGGCTTYTGGCTAGGTTCTTGTTGAAACCAGCTGACCACTGGGCTTTAAATTTTAGAGATGCAAGGCCAGTCCCCTTGGGTGGGTAGCCTTCCCTTCTAGATTTGTGGTGTCTGTCATGTGCTCTTCTGTGGAGTGCCCCATTCAAATTCCTATTCTATTTTCTCAGTCACCTAATCTAGGGGAACTATAGCCTGAGGTCAAATCTGGCCCACCATTTTTGAAACTAAAGTATTTTTTTAGTATTTTTTAGTTGTGAATGTACCTTTGTTTTGTTTTTRTTTGAGCTGATGAGAATCAAACCCAGCACCTCACACATGCCAGAAAAGTGCTCTACCCTGTAACTCTTAAATTTTCTTGTTAGGATTTTGTGACAATAGGGATTGAACCCAGGGTCTTCCAAATGCTAGGCTAGTATTCTGCCACTGAGCTGCATCACCAGCCCCTTTTTAAAAATTATTTTGGGACAGGATCTTGCTAAATTGCCAAGGCTGGTTTTGGACTTGTAGACTTCCTGCTGCAGCCTCCCAAGTAGCTGGATGACAAAGCCGCTGGCCCACTTGTTGACTCACGGGCAGCCATGCTGCTGCTGTTGCAATGGCAGAGTTGCATGTGTGAATACAGTCCATTAAACTAGCTCTTGGGAAAATTGTGTGGATCTCCTATGCCGGTGTGTGTGTGTTAACTGGAGATTGAACCCAGGGGTGCTGTACCAGAGTTATAACTGCAGCCCTTTTAAACATAGGATGCTGCTATACACAGTGTGATAACTTGCTCTTCTCCTTCTTGTCTCCCTCAGAGTCAGTGACCATTTTCCATGGGATGGGGGATGGGAAAGTAACTTGGGATTACAGGCCTGGTTAAAGTTTTTGTTTTTAATTGTGAGATTATCAATATTTGCTTTTAGTGTGCAAATGTAAAGGTATTGGAAGGCAAGAATAGACTTTACAATTAAGTATGTATCATCATGTTTGCTTAAGTGGATATCATATATTTCTTCAGTACCTCAATTTTTAAAAAATGATTTATTTAGAAACTCACAGAACTAYATACTGTTTTTTTACTTTCCTTATACTTGCCAAGTTTCTGTCTAGTGCTTGTAAATAGCATTTACCCTCAACTTGCTGCATAAAATGAACCTTGGTCACATTAAAAACAAGACATAAYTCATTCCAAACCCTTCTGTGCTCTTTAAACCCCATGGCTGCTTCCTGTGTTTGGGTAGAGTGATAGGAACCAGGTGGTGGGGATAACCAACATGGAATGCGCAGGGTCTTTCAGTCTTAACAGCTGTGTGTTGTTTCATGGATATACCTCAAGTTTGTGGTTTGTTTCTACTAATTAGTAATTTCAGGTAATGACAAACTGATCATCTTGGTAGGTTTATTTTAGTGCCACTGTACTTATAAGAAAAAAATTTTTAGAAGTGAAATAGTTGGGTCCAAGAGTATGTGTTTCAGGTACTTGTAGGGAGTGCTGACGTGATTCCATTTCTGTTCCAATGTGTCCTCACTCTCTGCCATTGGAACTGCTATGTGGCTGTCTTTCTCCTGCAGGTGACCCACTCCGTTTCCATGCCCACTACATTGCCCAGTGCTGGGCCCCTGATGACCCCATCCCACTCCAGGATCTGGTCTCTGCCGGCCGCCTTGGAACCAGCGTCAGAAAGACCCTCCTGCTGTGTTCTCCACACGGAAATGGTGTGGTGGCCTACACCTCCCTGCAGTGGGCCAGCCTGCAGTGAGCACCAGAGACCCAGGGGTGTGGCTGACAGCTGCAGGAACCTCCTGGGCCTCCCCCGCCATGGAGGCCCATGCTCTCTCTATGGTTAGTCTCTGATCCCAGGGTTTTTAACATTAATCCTTTTTTTGGTTCTTCCTATTTCAAGCACTTGTTGGCTGTGTCGTTTTGTAGTTACCCATGTCTGAACTGTGAGCTTCTTGAGAGTGACTGTGTTG